GCCATTGGGAAAACAGATTTGTTTTACACTAGTATGGGGCTGTGCGGAAATTTTACCTTAGTCTCAAGTACGTCCTAAATCGAAGGATAAACTTAAAGAAGTTACTTAGATTTCTGAGAATTCTGCACCAGTGTGCACCATAACCACTTGGTCAACTTCCGTTGATAAGCGGGAAACTGGAAAGCAAGAATTGGTGATATTTCGTTCAACATAAATGAAGAGAATTTCAAAAAGTTCTTTGGCGCATTATTTGAACGAAGCGAAGTCAGAAGCAAACACGCTCCAGGAAACGAAAGATATTACTGAGATTTTGAGTTTTCCAGTGGCACCACAAGTCTCAGAAATATGGTGCAAGAGTTTATGATACTGAAGTGTTTTTCCTGTGCAACCTTTCAGGTTCACCAAGTAAGCAGATGTGACTTTTAGAGTCTTAGTTTTTTTCACTCCTTCAGTCCACAAGCTAGTAGTTACATTAGACTATCTTTTTTTTTTTTTTTTTTTTGGCTGTGATTGTTATTCTGAAGGAAAGCAGAAAAAGTAGACACATTTCTAAATCCAAAGGTTGGGTAAAACTTTTGCAGTGCATTTGGTTCGACTGTACGAATCTATATTTTACTGAAAATTTGTCAGTAGTACAAGGGAAGACTTAATACCCTAGTCTTCAGTGCACCGGAATCCAGCCCTTTTTCGGGGTCATAAGGGGGTGTTCTTGGAGAGAAACTCACAGTAACTCTCAGATTTCCTCTCTTGACACAGCTGTATACAATAAAAAGGGTTGTGACAAGTTGTCAGGGAGTAGGCTGCAATCAATGAACAAGTATTCAGTGTAGGGGAACTGGGAATACTCCTTGTCACTTCACAATGTTACAGTCTAAGCATTTTCAGAGGTCTGGTATGAGTTGTGCAAGTCTTTTTTTTTTGTAACCATCAACAGGTTAAGAAAAGCAACAAGTGGGTTTGCAAAGTATGTGGAGAAAAGCAATCAATTAAAAAAGTTTATGCTCAAGGGACTGGTCTTGACTGCCGTAAGCATGTGCAGAAATTAAATTTGAAACAAGGAGAAGCACAGGAGGCAAGAGATTTGATATCCTGCAATGATGAAAATCCTAGTTCTTGTGACTTCGTTGAAAATACCCCATTGGCTGGCAATGTTAAGATAAACCAAGGTACAAATTGCAACAGCCAGGAAGGTTTTTCCAAAGGAGTAAGCAAATGGGAGAAGTTCTTAGAGATCAGTTCTACTGACCATGATGGTAATTAATGGTTTATTTGATCATGCAGTCTGATTGTACAGGTGAAGGTAGCCCTGAAATGGATTGTTAAGCCTAAGGCTGTCACTTTCACCCATAAACATTCAATTTCAGGACTTTCTCTTCATGGATGATCAGACCACAAGAACTACTGTTTTAAGTACTTCTAGGTTTAAACCTTATACTGGAAGATTTATCCATTGAACCTCATTTAAATGCTTCATTAGTGGTGAGACTTCAACCAAGGTCACCCAAAATTTATTCACTATTCACATGATAGGTTCAAACAACAAATTGAACTTTATGTCATTTTCTGTCTGGTTGCAGGTATGAAAGTTTGAAAGAGATTTTTTGACATTAAAAAAATCCTTAAAATTTACATTTTGACACATTCTCTAATTGCTTTTTCAGGGGGTGATTTGGTCACTGGTAGAAGAACATATAATATAAAAACAAATAAGCCATTAGTTGTAGAATGTATTTGTGTTTTATTTAAATTGTCAAGGAGATGGTGATTAATTCAGATATTTAATGTGTGATGCTCCGAGTGGAGACTATAGAAATTGTGAAATCCACGTTGTTGTTGTTATTGTTATTGGTTTGTGGAATGCCAACCAATGCTTTGTTGTGCTAAACATACTTTTTTTGAATTTTTTTTTTATACATAAGATTTAGAGGAATTGGACAGTGATGATATAACAACAGAAAGGGATTTGTTTGATAAAGCATATTCAAGAAGAAAGAGAAAGTCATCATGGCAACATTGCAAATCAGGAACTGGCTTCCATGGAAAAAGATCCAAAATAAGTGCAAATGAAGATAGTGTCAGTACATGCTCAGGGTTCAAAACCTCTTTTCCAAATACTCCTTTACATAACTTGACATCAAACCAAGTTGATGAATTTCAGTCCTATGGCAAACAAGCACAAGCCAATGAGGATTTGGAGTCAAATATCAAAAATAACCCATACAAATGTAACATTTATTTTGCAAAGGCTACCAGAAATCCCTCCCCAACAATGAAAAGGATGAACTCAAGTGCTTTGGTTGACCAGAAACGGAAAGCAATACATTCATCAACGTGGAATAGGTTCATGTCTAGTTCCTCATCACAAACTGACATGCATGAAACATGCTCAGAAAATAACTCTCTTTCCTTTGAGCCACACAGAAATAATTGTCAAATTGATAGTGAAAGCTATCATAACCAAGGTAATAATTTTATGAAATCTACTGCAGCTATGAATGCAGCAGATAATCAGTCATCGTCTTCTCAGTTTGTTGAAGATTTCTTTAAGGTGGATGATGAATTAGATGATAACTGGTGGAACTCACTGTAACTTAAAGGAAGAAATTTAGATGTTTTAACCTTGCTGTGCTACATATTTATTCGTAAGTCTTCAATGTCAGAATGGTATACTTAATGTAATCATTAAATGATTAAGGAAGAAATTCATCTCTCCTATGAGTACATTTCACATAACCTAAATTCAAATGACCCAAATAATCAGTATTAGATATAGGAGAAGGATCTAGGGGGGTTCACAAACCCCCTGACCCAGACATTAAAACCTTTTGCAACCACAAGATCACACGTTTCTCCTTGTTATAAAGTATACTAAATTTACTTGCCTCCCAATATTGTTTAGCTTGTGTGTGTTTTCTGGATCAAAGTTTGGACCCTCCCCCCATCCTAGATTCCTGCCCCTGCCCCTGCCCTTAAAATTTGTGCAAGCATAATGGTTTCCCAAACACGAAGATAAGCCTTGTCTCCTTCACAGCAAGTTGTCTGGTCTCGTCACACAACATGCCCGGGAGAGAGCGTGTTGCGTAACAAGAGTTTTCTCCTATCGCGTAAACTGACTTTCACATTCATATGCAATATTCTCAAATTGTTCAATCCAACAAGGCCAGTCACAAATAATTGCTAAGTCATGTTAAGCTGTGAGCCCTGTTTTCTAACGGTATAAGTGGAAACAAAGGAAGAAACAGCTTTCAGAATTAAATGACGTACAAAGCACATGAATAAAGGGGTATTTTTCTAAAGAAACTGTGGTGCTGCGTCGGTGGGAGACTGATAGCAGGTAATTTAGTGTTAACAACTG